TGTGGAGTTCTGCAGGGGTCGATCATCTTGCCAATGCTATTTAATATCTATACGAGGCTGCTGGGTGAGGTCATCTGGAGTTGTGGGGTCCGGTGTCATCAGTGGCCTCGCTGAGCTCTACCTCTCCTTTTTTCCTACAGCAGTGCTTGGGGACTGTCCTGGGATGGATGAGGGCAAATGGACTGAGGTTGAATTCGGACAAGATGGAAATCTTGTGAGTGGGTGGCCCAGAAATTGTCCTGGGATGGATGAGGGCAAATGGACTGCGGTTGAATCCGGACAAGATAGAAATCTTGTGCGTGGGTGGCCCTGACATCAGTAGGTTGGGAAACTCCCTCTCCTTTGGGGGAGTGACTCTTCCCATGAAGAATGAGGTTTGCTGCTTGGGTATCTGCCTGGACCCGGATCTCACCATGGAAAACCAGGAGACATCTGTGGTCCGGGCAGCCCATTTCCTTCTTTGGAGGATTGCTCAGCTGTGTCTCTATCTAGATGCTGGGGCACTGACGATGCTGATTCATGTACTGTACTTCCATTTCCTTCTTTGGAGGATTGCTCAGCTGCGTCTCTAGATGCTGGGGCACTGACGACGCTGATTCATGTACTTCTAATCTCAAGACTACTGCAGTGCTCTCTACATGGAGCTTGATGCGGAGACACCAACTGGTCCAAAATTTGGTAGCCAGATTAATAACCGGGGTGAAGAAGTTCCAGCACATCTCCCTCACTGTGGCTGCCCTTCATTGGCTACCAGTTTGTTTCGGCATCATGAAGAAGTTCCAGCACATCTCCCTCACTGGTTGCCCTTCATTGGCTACCAGTTCGTTTCAGCATCGACTCTAAGGTTATGATGATAACAATCAAAGCCCTAAATGGTTTAGGACCTTGGTACCTATCAGAACGCCTGTTGCCAGCCAGATCTGTCCTTAATACAGTACTTGTTCTTCACAGGCAGGGTGGTTGAGGGCCTTGACCCCAAAGGAAGCCCAGAGGGAAAAAAACAAGAAACCGGGCCTTCTCGGTGGTCACCCCCCCGCCTGTGGAACAACCTGCCCATTGAAATCCGCCTGGCACCTTCGCTGGATGGGTTTAAATGAGCATTGAAGTTTTGGCTCTTCCACCAGGCTTTCCCTCAGCATTATGTTTTTGAGATCTTGGCCTCCCTTTCACCATCCTTAATTTAACCAGCTGGTTATTATATTTGTTGAATGCATGTATTATTTTATTTTTTTAATCATGTTTTGATATTGTGCTGTTTATCTTGTTGTTAGCTGCCCAGAGTGGCCTGGTTCCCAGATGGTGCGGGGTATAAAACAAACAAACAAACAAACAAAACAAAATCCAGTGATTTGCAATGTAACTTCTTGTATGTCTTTATCTGTCTGCTATTTTTTTTAAAAAAAGAATGCACTACTAACAACAATTGTAATTTGCATGCATACATATAGTTTATTATTTGTCCTAGACCTAGACTGGCTTTTGGGGAGGCATCAGTAAAAATCAGTAGCCATCACAAAAGCAAAGGTTTTTGCCTAAGGCAGGCTGCAAAAAAGCTAGTGGCAAAAACCCAAGGGAGCCATAGAATCACACATTAAGGAGGTGTCTGCTCATTTCCATGTGACATCCACAGAAGCCCTGTGCAAGCACTGTTAATATGGGTACAGAATGATGACTAGTTGTAGTGCTTTCTGGGTGTGATCGAATTTTTTAATGAGACCTATGGGCTGAGGCTGATATGCACGTATTAATATTACATAATGTATGTATTACGTTTGTTGTAGCATGGAAGACAGGGTGTGGCTGACGTTGTTGAAGCAAAACAGGGCAGCAACAGAACAGAGTTGTGAGTGTCTTGAAAACTATAGAACTTTGTGCTGAATTTGCAAAGATCAATCATCTATATCAGTTCTTTCCCACTGTAACAGGGAAAGCAGCAACAGACCGGAGGAACAGGCAGGCTGTAATCCTCTGAAAGTGGGCCAGGAAAAGGAAAAGGACCTCTGATTGTGCCTCTGACTTTGAGCCTATACTAAGGCATTTTGATAATGGACTGACATTGTGATGAATGGAAAGTTTTTCAGGTAGCAAATGGCTTCTTTCAAACAAGTTTAGAGTGTTTGACCTGAATTTGACCCGGCACACAATTAAGCTAGGGTTCTTTAAAAAACAGAGTGATCCTTTAACACTTAAAGAGCATTAACTGTAATAGTACATCAGCGGAATGTACAATTTTAGTAGCTTTACCTAGCTTAAATTGTGGAATAGTTTTAAACACATAGTTGTTAGGGTTTGTTTTTTTTAATGGCCTGGGGATGTAAAACATTAGAAGTTAGGAGATTCAGCACCCTTGCCATATTCTGATTTTGTTCTTTAAAGTGGGCCCTCACTTCGTATGAGATGGGACACACACCTAAGTTAAAAAATGTGAGTTTGCCAATGTTGAATGCATCTGGGGCTTAAGTGATGCAGTAGTGGAGTTTCATCCAAGTTGGACATCTGGAGACAGGGCTTGGTGGGCTTTTAGGTGTCTTGAGCATTATTTTGCTTTTGGGGTCTAGTGTTATTGCACAGCAACAGTGGTTTTCCCAGAGCTTGGAAAGGTTGCATTTTTGGAGTACAACTTCCAGAGCCTCTCAGCCAACATGTGGTATTCTGGGAAATGTACCCCCCCCCTCAAGTGGGGTCTTGACTTGAGAACTTAATCCATATTGGAAGGCGGTTCTCAAGTCAAAAAGTCTGTAAGTCAAGTCTCCATTGCCCTACAGTGCATTGAAAACCGATTAATCCCATAACAGGCCGTTTTTGTTCCATTTTGGTTTTTTTCTGGTCTGTAAGTCAATTCTCAGGCTGCAAGTCAAACCTAAATTTTGCGGCCAGAGAAGTCTGTAACTCAAAAAGTCTGTAAGTCAAGCCGTCTGTAAGTCAAGGGTCCACTGTAACTTTGCTTCTCCCTTAGAATCTATAGAGATAGATAGCAAGGTGGACAGGAAAGGTGACATGGCCATGTCGAGCAATATAACAGGAGTAAATGGAGATACAGTAATAAATATTGTACAATTGTGTGCTTTTATTTGAAATGCTGGCAGATGCTTTATTTTGGTCAACCTAGGTGTTGTTATTGTGAGACATGTTCTTTCATGTTTCTTGTCATGACTGTGCCTTTGTAAGGACTTGGCAACTAGACTGCCAACACTGAAATAGCTTGGAACAAAATGCATTTCCACATATGCTTAAACAATGTGCTTGGAACCTGTGATGTGATGCTTATCATTGTAAGAGGCTTAAACAGGTTTTTTAAAATTTTCTTGCTATTTGGTTTAAGTGAGGCTTAAACTGAAGGAGAAAAAGGCCTCATCGATTAATAAAAGCTTGAGATGACTTTGCCATCTCAAGCATTTATATATTTAGAGCAATGGCATTGCTTCTTTATTATCATTATGAAGATAATAGGAGTTGTTCAGAAGTGTGTAGAAAAGCTGTTGGTTTTTATGAAAAATGAAAGAAACTAAAATAAGGCAGAAGCAGATCTAATGGTGGCTTATGGTTTTAATTTTGCTTATTTGAAAGATTGCAGCTGCTATGTATTTCCATAACATGTTTTCTTTTTCCTTTTGTGTTATTGAGGAGATGAAAGGATGACAATACATTATTATATGAGCTTCCCATTCTAAATACAGACCTTGGGTTTTACAAATTCCTCTGCTTTAAAAAACTATATTAAGCTGTTGCACTTAATTTCTAATCAGTGAGACTGGTTTAAAATCATATACTATCTTGAGCTAAATGTAGTTTTCCCCTTCTTTGATGTCTGTATGAAAATTATCTGTAAACTTATTGTTTATCTGGTTTGCTTTGTGTGATATTTTTAAAAGGCTAGAGTTGGCCAAAAGTCCTGTTACTAGGATATTTTGGTATAGATTCTAGAATATCTGTTAGCAGAGGTTTCACTTAAAATTCAACAGTGCAATTGTTGATTCATGAATTCATTTACAGTATTTCCTTTATAAGAAAGGACCAAAGATCATTTTACTAGATTTGCATTCTGTACTCTTCAAATATTTGAGGACTTCTTCCCACAGTAATTTTACATACAGTATTTTCAAAACTGATTGAGGAATTCATTTCAGAATAAAGCTACCTTCTGTATCTTCAGTTAATCATCTTTGGGCTGATACAATCAAAAGACACCAGATGATATTGTATGTTATCTGCATAATGAAATAATTTAAGTAACTTGCATAATCAGAGTTTCACTTATAAGTGTTATTTATCCTTCATTTCAAATCTTTGGTAAAAAATTATTTTCAGGGAACAATTAAACTATTGCTATCATCATCATGATATTAATATTAAAGTTATACGTTAGCAGGGCAATTTTTGGTTCATTCATATACTTAAACAAATCACATCTGAATTTAAGGTCCATGAAGAAAGAAAAAGGTAAAATAGATTCAGTTGATACCAGAAGTCTTTTAAAAAGTTGTGGTACGGGGAACTATATATGGATACTGTATGTTTTTAATGCTTCTTGTGTACAGTATATTTTTTTGATTAGTTCTTAAATAGTTTCTAAATTAGTAGTTTTAATATTATCTATGTTCCTTGAGTTCTTATGTCGTAGTTTACTTTGTTTCTAATTGTGTGTATCTATTTTTAATTATCTGTAGATGCATTGATTCTCTGTACCAGGAGTAAGGTGGCATAGAAACAAAATAAATCATTTAAATAAATAAATAAATGTAGACTTTTCCCACTGCAAGTCAGTGTGTGCATGTGTGCAAATGTGCATGTGTACATATACAGTATGTGTGTTAAGAATATTTTTGCATAAGATGTTAGAGGAATATTATGTACACTGGCTACAGTTTGTTTTAGGTTGGAGTCAATTAATCTTTCCAAGCCAAAACAGTCTTTTCTCTTAAAGCCCCTTAAAATAGTGAATTAATATATTGAAATGTCCTAATTTTTTAATAATAGTTTTTAAATTATAATTCCCACAGTACTGGCTGGATCCTGCAAAGACACTTACAGAACATAAGGAGCTCATAAACAGTATGTATATAATTTATTCTTACAAAGGTTTTTTTAGGAGGGCATGGAAAATATTTCGTCTGAAGAGCAAACAGTCTAGAATGTATCACAGTTTTTAAAGTCCTTTGATAGTGTTGTGTAATAGGAATATAGGTCGATGTCAAACAACACATTGAGTGCTGAAAATGGTTTTTATCTATTTCTAGACATTCCCACATTTGTTTCTTCACATTACTAAAAACCTTTGAAATATCTCAGTGATAGTACCTATTTTGAAGCTGTATATAATTGAAATTGGGAGAACTAGATTAGTGAGCAGAAAGATTTTTTTACCAGATTGGCACCATAGAAAGAAGAGCCCGGGAATAAAAAGTGAACTGAACTATCCTCATGCACAGCATCCTCCAGAATTCATTGTTATGATGCAGCATTCCAGATTACAGCAACACAGATTTTTAAAAATCTTCCACACGATAAAAAGATTTAAAATTAGCATAACACAGAACTGGTCAACAGCCCTACTGACCAAAAGCCCTTTGTCTTATCTCCATTAAGTTTCGTGTTTTGTTAGCTTGCTTGCTTGTTGAAACAAACACACCAACCTATCAGAGCGCCTCTCTCCAAGAACATTTCCTGTTCAACCTGCTCCTCTCAGGCTGCATTTTTAAGAGTGCCTACCCAGAGGCAAAAAAAGAAAAGAAAACTAATACTAGGAATCTGGCTTTTTCAGCCATGGCTCCCTTGCTGTGGAACAAACATCCATCAGAAATTAGATAGCCCCCCACCACCATAGAAGATGATTGAAGACAGAACTATTTAAGTAGGCCCTTGGCAACATCTCAACATCTAATTTGTGAGACCCGTACACTATATTTGTAACTATAGCTATATATTGTTTTTGTTATACTACAATATATTTTATTATGTTATGTTCCATAGAATTTTATTTAAGTTTATCATATATCAATCTCAGGTCTCCTTTTCTGTTTAAGTTTGTGGTGTTATGCTTCTGATTTCTTTTTTACTATTTTAGTTGGTTGTATATTTTGCCTAATTATGCAAACCGCTCCAAGTAGTGTTCTCACTAAGTCAGGCAGTCTATAAGCTAAATAAATAAATAAATAAAAGCAGAGAGCAGGACTTTGTTAAGCAATATAGCAGGACAGGAGCAGGACACTTCTTTGTTTCATTTATTTAGTTTAATAAATCATGTCTGAATTTCTGCATACAGTATTCAGTCATGCTTGCGAATGTTTCACTGTATACATTAGATAGGCAATCGAGTTCTCTGTGTGTTCATTTAAAGTGTCATTTTTATGTAGTGCGACTTGCAAGTATATGTATCTATAAGGCTGCAACATTGATGTTGAGAATTAACATCTTGCATAGTTCACACAAGTCTGTGACACCTTGTATATGGCACATGTAAACAGGGAGCATGTGTCCCTTGTTGTGGCAGCTGCAGTTATTGGTCTGTTTCTGGACATGTCAGAGTCTTGGTTATGACATATACATATATGTCCTATGACTAAGCAGTTTGAAAGACCATACTCTCCTTCATGAACTCCCTGGGTTAGATGCATTTTAATTGAAGGGAGTTGTTTTCTCTCTGTTACCTATTTTGGTCTTCTGTATTTTAATGATATTTCTTTTTTGTTTGAAAGTTCTTTTTAGCCAGGCTGAGTGTGATTTCTTAGCAACAAGGGTGGGTGGAAATTAAATATATAAAACATATACTTTGACATAAATTTATAAACTATATATGAAAATCTTAATGTAACAGTACATTCAGAGAGATGAAGCAACCAGTGATAAATTGATACGTTACTATTCCCAGATACTTATCTCCACTTAGATAAAGTAAACACTACTAGCTAAATGCTTATTTTGTGCAATTTTATTTTGTTTCAGTGAGGTTGTATACTAGCAATTGTTGTCTTGGGTTCTCTGCCCAAACTTATCCACTGAGATTATTGCTGTTTTTCGCAATTGTTGTCTTGGGTTCTCTGCCCAAAGTTATACACTGGGATTATTGCTGTTTTTCAATTATAGTACAGTGGTGCCTCGCAAGACGATGTTAATTTGTTCCACAAAAATCGCTGCCTTGTGAAAACATCGTCTTGTGAAATGCGGTTCCCCATTGGAATGCATTGAAATCCATTTAATGCGTTACAATGGGGAAAAATCGCTGTCTTGCGAAAAACCGTCCCTAAAAAAAAGTTTTGTGAAGCGCAGACTCTGTCTTGCGAAAAACCGTCCCTAAAAAAACCTTTTGCGAAGCGCGGATTCTGCTGTCAAAATCGTCGTTTTGCGAAAAACGGTCCAAAAAAACCCAAACAAACGTCAAAATCGTCGTTTTGCGAAAAATGGTCCAAAAAACCAAACAAACCCATTTTGCGAAGCACCAACCAAAACATCATCTAGCGAAAATCGGCCATAGGGAAAACTTTTGCGAAGCGCTATAGTGATTGCAAAAACCCATCGGCTTGCGAATTAACCGTTTTGTAATCGTCTAGCAAGGCACCACTGTATACAGTACTTGAAAGATGCCTGGTTATATACAGGGCTTGAAAAATCCACTTGTCCACTCGTCTGTGACGAGTGAGTTGCTTGACGAGCCACAGCTCCCTCTGTCCCTCCCTCCCTCCTTCCTTGCCTCCTAACCCTCAGGCTGTCTGTCTCTCTCTGATCCTGCAGTCCTCCCCTCCCCCTTCCCATTGTGAAAGGAAAAATAGCCCTCTTCTTGGGAGAAGAGAGTTCCAGCGCACATAGATATATAGTTCTGCAGGAGAATGTTAAGTAGTCCCATGCTGGAGAATATGGAGATTCCCTGTTCCCAATTTCAATCGAACAACCTGGATCCTTAAGAGACTGGGCACTTTTGCTTTCAGTTTTATTTTTGTTGGAGACATTCTAAAGAAAGGCATTCAAAATACAAGCTTCATGACCCCACAGGCATGCAGGTAATAAAGCAACCCAAGTCTGAGGGTACAGTGGTGCCCCGCTACATGATTACCTCGCAGAACGCTGAAAACTCAGGACTGTGACTTTTTTGTGATTGCTATAGCGATCACAAAATGATGTTTCCAATGGGGTTTTTTCGCTGGACGTGGAATAGATCTGTGCTTCGCGAACCGTTTGTTCGCAATACGATGAATTTTACAACATCGCATAATGGCTTCCGCTGTTTTCCGACCCATGCTTCGGAAGAAAGCCATTAAAAACAGCTGATCGGCAATCAGAAAATGGCTTCCTTATGGAGGATCTTCGCTGGACGATGAGGTGATTTCCTCATTGCTTCCTTATGGAGGATCTTCGCTGGACAATGAGATGATTTCCTCATGGGAACGCATTAACTGGATTTAAGTGCATTCCAATGGGGATTTTTTTTTCGCGTGACGATGATTTCGCTGTACAGCTATTTCAGTGGAACCAATTATCATCATCATGTGGGGCACCACTGTATATTTATTTTGGGTTTGTACACATTGTTATGTAGAAAGTGCCTAATTTAAATTTAAATTTAAGTTTAAACATAAATTGCAAGGCTATAGTCCAGTCATGCTAACGGGTGAAATTTTTGACTGACTAGTGAGGCATTCTAAATTTTTTCAAGCCCTGGTTATATAGATGCTTGCTTGGTATTATTTTAAAATCTTACCATTAGTTGAAAGACACAGTGCATACGCTTTCGAGATTGTCTCCTATTAAAAGTAGGACATTTTAGTAGCTGTTATATAAACAAAGTTACAGTGTTTGTGTAAGATAATAGAATTTATTTCCAAGTAAAGATGTTTAGTATTGCAATGATTCATGTGTGCATTTTAAAAAAATAATCAGGTTCCTTATTTCTAATAGCTGGGCCACCTTACACTCTTTACTTTGGAGTTAAATTTTATGCAGAAGATCCATGCAAGTTAAAGGAAGAAATCACCAGGTATGACATGATTTTAAATCCGTGTAATTTTAGCAATGAGATTAAACAGGCACTTTTAAAGTATCCTATATGTTTATGTGGGATTAATCATTTTTAGACGTGGGAGGGAGAAGAAAACTCTTAAGCTGAAGTTTTGTTTTCCTTATTATGAACAATTAAAAAACATATTTGGAAGATCTCAATTATGTTTCACTTGCACCAGTGGGGTAGAAGGCAGTTCAGTGGCTGGAATCCTGTTGCACAGCTCCAAGTGCATAACATGAAGCAGAGGAACCGGTTTAGAAAATAGCAGCTTGGCGGAAGTGCTGTTCACAAAGTGTTTCTGCATGCATGCTGCACAATGATTATGAAGGGAACTGCATGACTGATTGCACAATCAGGCTGTGCAATCCTCATTGCTTACGCTTTAATTTATGTTATGAAAAGACAAACAAGATTTCAGCCAATGTGTCTTAACTTAGCTAAGGTTTTGCACTGATTGTGATAGGTATATGTTTTCTTGTGTGAATCATGTTCAGATTTATTTTCCTGTGATGCATCAACTTCCATGGAGATTGTTGCTCTCTCATAGCTTTTCTTTTTGTTTCAGCTCAGCTCTGAGAAACAATTTTTGAGTACTGATATTTTAAAAAAGAGATCAACTCATACACAATACAACAGAACTATAAAGTGAAAAATTTGTACTCTGTGCTGTATCTGATAGTAATTTTAAGCTGCTAATTTCAGACTCATAAAGAACACATGATAATCAGGTGCTGATTGTCCTGCATATCAAGCAGACCATTCCTCATTTTTCCCCTTCACTTTGATCAAGCCATCACAGCCTGCACGCTGATCTGCTATTCTGAGTGCGCAGAAGCATGATACACAGGAGAAAGCATGTCATAGCCAGTAAAACAAAATTATGTGTGGCTGCATGTGGAAAGAGAAGGAAGCTCTATACAGATTGCTAAGCCTGAGTGCAAGTGATCATTTCTAAAATGTAGGAGTGACCTCTCTCCTTTTGCAATTTAGAAGCAACAGCTTGATAATTGCGCCAGTGTAACAGAAGAGGTGAGACTCTCATGATGAAAAAAGCATCACTTTTTGCATTTTAATTGATTTGTACCACCCCATTTTTTTAAAAAAAAGATGTTCTAGAAATTGCTGTAGCAGGGGAACACAGGGAGCTCAAAGAAAAGCAGATTTAAAAAAGAAGACAAATATTTTCTCGAAATGGTGAAATGAAGGTTAAATCCCCATCATCCTCTTAACACTACATACAATTAATAGAATTAGTTCAAAGATGCTGTGATGGTCAAGTTTGTATCACATTTATTTAAAGCATTAAACATACTGTAGAGTTGTTCATCAACCTTTCCTTGACTTCTTAACTTTGTTAGAAACTGACAGCAGTGCCTTCACAGCATGCAATATACTGTATGTTGACACACTTTATTATGTGCTGGAGAGGTTCATGATACGTTTTTTAACTTTTTTGTATAAATAAGGACTCTCCTCTCCCCCCCCCCAATTTGCTTTAAAAATGTAACTGAATCAGTTTACCATGTGAGGTGTTTGCCCTTCTTCAAAGCTACTTTTCTTCTATTATATAAAGCTGTGATTGTGTCTAGTCATTTGTTGTCATTCTTGTTTTAGATATCAGTTTTTTCTACAAGTGAAGCAAGATGTTTTGCAGGGCCGCTTGCCTTGTCCTGTCAACATTGCTGCCCAGCTGGGAGCTTATGCAATACAAGGTATGTGCTTCAGGTCAACTGTTATTGCATTTCCTTTGTTAAATCCGGGGTCCTATTTTGAAAATATTTCTGTCCCATTTCTCATTTGCAAGTACAAGCAGCTTGTAATGCTACCACAAAAGAATCCAACAGAACTCTTTCATATACCATATGAGAGAGTTCTTAACAGTTCATGGCTTGGGGAAGACCAAAGTGAAAGAACACCTGGGGTATCTTACTATTAAGACTCATTGTATAGGGTAAACATCACTGCAGATAAGGCCTGTCTCCATGTTACTGGAAATAAACAGAAATCTGTAGGGCACATGTAACAGTGACTCCCCTGAAGATCATAGTGGCCTACGAGACTAGTATGGAGAGAGGTGGTTTTTAAGTTTACTGGCACCAGGCTTGCATAGAACTCATTGTATATTTGCAGTGAAGATTTGATTATATTTTAAAAGCCTGAATTTTAGTGAGTTGAATGATGTGGTTTCTAAATCACAGTTGTTTTTAGCAACTGTAGAGCATTAGGGGACTAATAGTTTATTAAGAGCACCCTCTACAAAGCTTGATGAACAAAGCAACTGACATCCCCTAATACTCTGCAGTTGCCATGGAGCTTACAAAGGTCATTCTCCATGCTTAATTGCCATCTCTGCAGAGAGAGGTTGGAAAGGAACAGGTTTATATACTGAAACTAGAGATGGACACAGATTGCTGGTTTAGCAGTTCATGCCAGTTCATTTACAGGCCCAACAGAGGTTCAACGCTTCAAAGCCTCTGGTGGGCGCCCACTCAGAAGCAGCGGCCTGGCTTCCCTGCCCTGCCTCTTCTGGGCACTGCCTCTGAGTAGGTGCCCACCAAAGGAGGTGGGCTTTGAAGTGCCGAACACCTGTTTGGCTGATAAACTGGTACGAACCGCCAAACTGGCAATTCATGCCCATCTCTATTTGAAACCTTTCTGAGAACTTGGATTTTTTTGGCTAAAACTGCCAAAATTTTATCTCAGGAATTTAACTTGAATGTTCTTAGCTGTAGTGGAAAAAATCCCAAAATCCAATGCTTACTGGTAATCTTTTCGCCCATTAGGCCCACATCCCATGTTCAATCGTAGAGTGGCCCACTATGCATTGAATATTAGTGATCTTTGTTATCTCGTGTTATTCTCACCTGGGTAATTTTTCTCCTTTCTTCTAATACAGAGGTGCCTCGCTTGACAATGTTAATTCGTTCCAGCGAAATCGCTGTAGAGCGAAAATATCGTCAAACGAAATGAAAAAATCCCATTGAAACACATTGAAAACCTGTTCAATGTGTTCCAGTGGGCTGAATACCTGCTCGTCCCACGAAGATCCTCCATACGGCGGCCATTTTCGGTGCCTGTATAGCGAGGAATCCATCCTAGAAAACAGCGGGGGGCTATTTTGAAAGCCAGCGGCCATTTTGAAACCCGATGATTAGCTGTTTGCTGATCGTTGTAAAGCAAAAAATCGGTTCCCGAAACAGGGAACCAATCAATGTGAAGCGAAATTCCCCCATTTAAAACATCGTTTTGCGAGCGCAGAAGTGATCGCAAAAACATCGACGTAATGCAGATTCATCGTAGAGCGGGATAATCGTCTAGCGGGGCATGACTGTACTGGAATTTTATTATTTTACATATTATGAATCTTCGCGCTGGGCAATTAAACATTCTATGTGAACTACACACAAAAAGTGTGTAATGAAAACTTCATGTTTATATGTATTGTAGCTGAGCTTGGAGACTATGACCCATACAAGCATACTGCAGGTTACGTTTCAGAATACCGCTTTGTTCCAGACCAGAAGGAAGAACTAGAAGATGCTATAGAACGGATACATAAAACGCTCATGTAAGAATTTATGGTAGTAATGGCATATGTTAATGTATCTTCAGTTTCATTAACTAATTTTGCATAGGAAAAAGTTCAAGAAAAGGAGCATTAAGGAAGCAGCTCTTTTGAAAACAGGGAAAGGCATAGATTTCTCTTTTAAATGGCATTATGTGTGAGCTCTGTAAATTTATATATCTGGACAAGATACAAATATAACATAGGGACTTATGCCTGATGTTGTGTGGCCTCCATGTATACAGAGCTTGGAAAGGTCATTAAAATGTTCAGTGTTGTTCTTTGTTAAATTCATGAGCAATCTGTCAGATATTTTTGGTGCTTTCTACTCATGAGTTATGTAAACTAAATTTGTTACGCCCTACACGGCTACTTGAAATTAAAAGAAAGAAATACAAGGTTATGTTTCTGTGGTGGTGGTAATAATGGGAGGTCAGGTAAAACATGTAGGTGATAGTGAATTGGGAGAGGTGTAATTTGAGTTCTGAATTTAAAAAACACCCTATTTCCCCACCTCAATTTAAAAAATTGTTTGGCTGTAACATAAATATATCTATTTAGTAATACTGTACTAAAAAAAGAGGCCTGCACTCCCTCCCAGATAATGTTCACAATAGATAATACTTCCTTTTAATAGCATTTATTTGTTGCCATTGAAACCAGCAATGTTAGCCCCTTGTTAACAGTAAAAGATGTAGTGAAAAAGTGAATTTTCTCATGATGGTCAATTTGTCTTTTAAATATTGTGAGAAACTGTTAATTTTACTTACAAACTTTTCATGCACCTCTCAAAAACAGTGCTATATGTTACTGTGCCTGCGGTTGTTATGTAGCATGTATAAATTTTATGTATGTATGTATGTATGTATGTATGTATGTATGTATGTATGTATGTATTGGACAAACAAATAAAAACAACAATTAAATAGAAAAAGATGCAGATAAATTATGTAAGTGTGTGCATAGGAGCATAACACCTACTGTTAGTAAGAGAGCTAGGAATGAAGAAAGACGTTACAGCAAGAGAGTTCTTTGCAAAAACCTTGTAGTGCTCATAATGTATAAATTAATCCATTTGTCAATCAACATAGCTTGGCAGAATCTTGCATATTTTAATTGAGAATGGTGAGAGAGAAGAGGGGGAGAAATACATGTTTGAGAAATGAGTTAGGTGATAATTTGTGGATTGTGGAGCCAAATAACTAGAGAGTAGAGTCAGATGATAAGAATAATTGCAGCACTCCATGCCAATATCTGCAGAAGTTGGAAAACACTGGGGTTTTTATTCTTGAGCAGGAGAGAGGGTGATGGGCAGAATTTGTGAGCTGGCAAGGCATGTCTAAGTAATTCATGCATACCTACAAAGTGAACAAGGGAGGGTGTCAGTTGAGAACCGGTGTGAAAATGCTGGTAATGAACTGTTGTGAAAAGATTAATTTGTTAAATTTGCATTATATTTGTGAGGTGGAGTCAACTGAAGGTCACAGATACCTTACAGCAGGGGATACATAATAATTTTGTCTTTGGTAACTGCATCTGCTGTCAACTGGGTGTACATGTGTCAGGGTGGCATTTATATTAACATCCATATTCTTTTTTCAGTCATTTTTTCCGCTGATGCAGTCCTTATCTAATCTAAATCTAAAAGTCCTTATTGAAACAAATACTTCTAGAAAGGGACAGTCCTCAGCAGAAGTCACAACGTTCTTGATAGCTTTCTAATGTCATGTTTAGAAAACCTACAAAGTCGCAAACCACTTGTACTTTATTGTCTTTTTCCCCTTAGAACACACTTTTTATAAAAAACAAAGCCTACCATTCTGCATGTTTGTGTTCCTTAAATCTATTACAACCATTGAGTCAAAATATGGGCACAAGAATGCAAACAAAATCTTTTGCTGCTGAAGTGGTAAATAGTTTGGGCTGTCGTAGCTGGGATAGATATTTTGGCTGGGATCCTCTTGAATGCTGGTCAAAATAAGTACTTGACTAGGGTCATAATGCTGAATTCCCGAGCTTGCTGTTGTGCTTGCATAAATTGCTGCTGCAAAAACCTGACTTCCACTTGCACATGGAGATGCATTATGTCTCTTTATGCAAGTGCAAAAAAAAAATCAGCTGCTCATATAATAAGTAGTGTGTCACGGAAGTGGTTTAATCATGCAGAATCCTGTGGCTTTAGCTAAGGATCTTACAGCATACTTACCGAATGCAAACTCAGACTTGCTGCAAAGCTTTTACCTGTAGCAAGTGTGCAAATGAGCCTCAGAAAAATGATTGCTTATGCCCTGGTTCAGTGGTCCTTTCTTTGTGCAAATAATATTAGCCATGAACCTAGACCTTCGAGATCCTTTTTTGCAGTTTCTCTCCTTCCTCCAAGAAAGTAGGGTGTGGAATGGAGGCTGAGCTAATTATGGTCCTAGTTATTACATTACATCATCTTACATCGTCTGCATGTCAAAGAGAGTATGTATGAATCAAAACTAAGTCAGTATTCCTCACCTTTGCAAGAAAGTATGACTTCTGAAATATTTCCCTATTTCAATTGACTAGGTACATTTAACATTGTTGTATTAAACAGGGGCCAAGTTCCAGCTGAGGCTGAATTGAATTACCTAGGAGTGGCGAAGACTCTTGAAATGTATGGAGTTGACCTTCATCCTGTTTATGTAAGCATTTTTTTGAAAAATAAAAGCTTTGCTAACTATCTCCACAATTCATTAATCTCTGTTGGGATTTAAATGACTAAGATATGAAGCTGGTAACTGCAAGTGCCTGCAGATCCAGGAGCTCCCTATGTGGTTTGATGTACACAACGTGCAGAACTTGAATATGTAAAATGTTGTCACAAAATCTGGCTAACATGGCCATACTAGCTAGGGAGATTTTTGGAGATACAGTAAAAAAAGATAACTTCTCTAAGCTCAAACAAAGTGTTCTGAGTAACAGAAACAGTTTTAAAATGGAGATCGCCTATGGGTGATAGAACATGAGTAATGTCCTACTACCCATAGAGTGGACTCTCCTGATTCATACGAGGTTTGGAAGGTGGATGGGATGTTTTACCTACCTTAGTAAGGGTATTTTATTTGATGACTAACTTGGAATGTCTCCCAGCCGAACAACCTGATGATTCCATGATACTCTTACTATGAGGAAGATTGTTCCTCTGTGGTCTACACTGGAGTATCAGGCAAGGGCAGTCACAGCAGATAACACATGAAGTACATGCCTAGCCTTATAAGGATCCTTCATATATAATACCTGAGTATATAGGAAGTAAATATTCCCTTCTCCTACTGTACTGATATGAAGTGTTTTCAGGCATTCCTAGGTTTACATTCCTTATAGAACTATTCAGATATACTGGGTTACAACTTCCAGAATGGAAGTTGTACAGGCACTTTAGATGCATAAAATGACTTGTTAGAAGCAGCAATTCCTTGTGTTAAAAGCCATCTGACTGTAATCCCCAGAACTTTTCTGATCTGCAACTTGCAAATTAGTTTGCTCTGTGATGGTTTCCTCAGGAGTTAGACATCAGCTTAAGGTTTTATGGCCAAGTTGGCCTTGCCAAGATGGGGCTGCTTAAGGTTGCTATGAAGCATGGTGTGCCAGTTGGTGCAATCCTTGGATCCATGTGCTAGGACTGGTTGGCTTTGGGTCAGAAACCACACTTCACCTCACTCGACCTAATTTGGCCTATCTCTCTTAAAGGGGAAAAACAAACGAAAAAGACACATACCCTTCTTTTCCACTCCTTTCTGCTCCTCCTTCTCAAAAGATGCTTGCAATTTTTAATTTTTTTTCTTGAAAGATATAACACATTAACACAGCCCTCTATAGGCTTGGGGGGGGGGACACAATGCCTTTTGATTTCTCCCTCTCCCTCTCCCTCTCCATGGAGGAACAGAGGAAGTTTTTAATTTCTCAGTATTGTTGAGTGTCTGCTTAAGCCACTTAATGATACTGATAAACTGAAAGGAAGCCATCCAGCAATTGCATGTACTGGAACCGAACCAAAACAGAGCTACCCTACCTGCACCAAAAAGAAGAGTAGCTCCTTGACAGGGAGCCAAGAATGTGTGAGTAAGAAAGCCCTGGAGATGGGTTTTTCCCTTCTAGCAATTATGTCATGAGGTAACTGGGAACTAGCAAGTCCCCAGAGTGGACCAAACAGCAGGACAAATCCCTATCTAGTCACACACTTCGTTTTAATCTAGTTTCTCAAGCACAGTGCTATGAAAGGACTGCAAGAAAGATGGCGTGTTTTGTTCCTCTAATGGCATTGTAACATCTGATTTTGTACACCTGATTTGGGAAGGAATGCTGCTGAAGGAATAAGAGGGCAGTGGAGGTGAAGGTGAAAGGTAGAATTCCCACTCAGCCATCACAAACCAGGTGGCTTGAGAAGGGAGGGCCAATGTTTATACAGTGGTGCCTCGCATTACGACATTAATTCGTTCCAGCAAAATTGCTGTAGAACAAAAACGTCGTAATGTGAAAATAAAAAGCCCATTGAAACGCATTGAAACCCCTTCAATGTGTTCCAATGGGCTGGAAACTCACCATCCAGCGAAGATCCTCCATAGGGCGGCCATTTTCGGTGGCTGTCTTGCGAGAAATCCGTCCCTAAAAGCAGTGGGCAGCTGTTTTATTTACCCGGTGGCCATTTTGAAACCGCCAATCAGCTGTAGGAAAATCGTCATTTTGCGAAGAATCAGTTCCCAAAGCAGGGAACCAATCATCGCAAAGCGAAAAAACCCTGTTCAGACCATCATTTTGCGATCGTAATGGGGTTTTGTCGTAATGCGGGGCAATTGTAAAGCAAGGCACCACTGTAATTTGTTTGTTTTCTGACAGCATGGACAACTGTAGGTTCGTAGTCACACAAGAAATTGTTGTCTACCTTGTTGACTTGTTTCATTCGACTAGCAAGCTCTAATGGTATGACACAAGTTGGTTTTGCCTTTCGTTTCAAAAGCCGTTTGCCCCATGGCATAGGAGGCTGGGCTCATTTAGGAGCTCGGAGCCTGCCTTGCAGTTGCTTAAATTCTGCACCACATCAGCCACCCTCCTGAAATGGTTAAGAAGACTGCTGTTACTGCTTCCTAAAGCAGTAATCACATCCATAAGTCACAGCCCCTTTTCCTTTTTTAAAAACAAAATTTAAATCCACAGCAGTACTTACTTAAGAGATGCATGGATTAAGACGACTTCCTGTGGAAGAATGTGGTTTCATTTCCATATAAAAGGCAATTAACGATGCTGAAAGAATAATATGGATTACAAATCTGAGGGATTTAGTCTTAAGTGTCATTACAAGATGAAAGGATTTTATTACGAAGCATATGTTCAGGCAAGAAATATAAAAGTAAGACCAAGAATCTGGGTATGGCCCTTCAAAAGTTCAAAGTAACAGGAACTCATGGATAATTAGTAGCTCACTGTTACAAAGGAGTTGAGTTTAATGTTTGTGTTGAAAGTTCCTTAAATATAGAGGACAATAGGTGTCATAATGTGTGATGTTCTTTTTTTCTTGCCTTTGGAAATGCCGGGTTAGGGAGTATTTTCCACTGTGTGTATCTATCTCCACAGTGGATCTAACAGTCTTCTTAAAAGGATAGGAAACTCTTTTAAAATGTGTGCTTACTTATATATGTGAATTTAACATTATTTTCCAGGGTGAAAACAGATCTGAGTATTTTCTAGGATTAACTCCGGTAGGAGTGGTTGTGTACAAGAATAAAAAGCAAGTGGGAAAGTATTTCTGGTAAGTAATCAAATAAGAGTGACAGAGTTTAGCAGGTACTGCCTCGTGCATTAATATATTTATCTATAGTTTCACAGTTTTTTATCCACATAGAAATGCATTTAAGTATCTGTATCATCTACTGAAGGGTGGGGATGTGTGGCTTTCTCATCTGCTATAATCAGCATTGCCAGTAGTAATGGGAAAAGGGGGTTACATGTCAACAGCTTCTGGATGGTCACATGGTGATCACACCTCCTGTGTTTATCAGGCAGAAGAGAAACTGCCTTAGCAATGAACACATATACAGCAAAATGTTATTAGGAGCCATTTATAACACTAGATCATTAAGAAGAACACATTTTGTATACACCTGCCACAGAGAAACAGATCAGATTATTGATTTACTTTTCTGCTTGTATGATAACAGCTATTGACCGTCATCAGTAATATAAACATACAGTGGTGCCTCGCTTTACTATTGCCCCGCATTACGATGAATCCGCTTCACAACGATGGTCTGAATGGGGGAATTTCGCTTTGCGATGATCGGTTCCCTGCTTCGGAAACCAATTCTTCGCAAAACATGTTTGTAGAACAGCTGATTGGCAGTTTCAAAATGGCCGCCGGGTAATTAAAATGGCTCCTCGCTGTGTTTAGGGATGGATTCCTCGCTATACAGGCAGCAAAAATGGCCATCGTATGGAGGATCTTTGCTGGACGGTGAGTTTTTACCTCATTGGAATGCATTGAACGGGTTTCAATGCGTTTCAATGGGGTTTTCTACAGTATTTCGCTTTACGATGTTTTCGCTTAACGGCGATTTTCCTGGAACGGATTTCGTCATTAAGTGAGGCACCACTGTACTTGGGTTTACAAAGTGTTGTTGGGCTGCTTTTCTAGGTAACTCTTGCCCCCCCCCAGTTACTGCATATATTTGATGATTTCACCATGGATACATTTGTATTTTTCTATCTCCTAGGCCTAGAATTACAAAGATCCATTTCAAAGAAGCTCAATTTGAACTGAGAGTTCTGGGGAAAGATGTAAGTTTGCATTTTTGTAGCTTAAAATAGAGCTGATTAAGCACATGCTGCTATACATCCTTATAAGGACTAAACTCACTAAATAGAATATGATCAACATACACACAGTATTCCTAAAAATGTAATGAGCGGGAAACATTTTTAGAAAAAAAACAAGGATTTAGGTATAAATTCATTTGTTAGACCCAGTTAATTAGTAAAATCTGTACAAATGTCGACCTATCAGGTTCCCATACATTCATAGGGTCTACTCTCGTTAGAAGTAACAGTTGGGCTCAGGCAGAAAATGTATCTGTTTCAGGATGAATAAAAATCAATGATTTTTTTAAAAAAATTGATTTAAATTAAGATTTAAAACAAAAAAAACAATTTTTAAAATTTTTTAATGATGATTTTTTTAAATCAATTTGACTGAAACAAAATCCACTTTAATTTCATTAATTATAGTTGTGAGAGAGGATTTAGAAATGAGAAGAAAATGCTTTGTTTATCATTTCTGCATCTGTTTATTGGTTAGGTTTGAGGCTTGAGTAGTCAGGTTCCTATAGTACTGCCACTTTATCTGCATCCTCTGAAACTGCAGAGTCTTCTTAGATTACATGGAAGTGTTGCCACGCGTTTGTATGATTTATGCTTACAATAAAGTTGTCTGTTAATGCTTTGGAATTATTTTCAGTAGTTAATGGGAAACATGAAAGTTTGAGAAAGTTTGAGAAAGGCAAAACTGCTGTTTGTAGTATGAGGGATGTTGACTGATTTGTAGATTGGCAGTGGTATTTGAAAAAAAGCCAGCTACAAAGAAGAGCTTCTTTGAGGATAGAAGCCTTCTCAAGAATAAGGGGTCCTCTTCTCCTTTATGTACATGATTTATAGAAAACCTGCACCTGTGTCCTGGGCTGAACACAGCCCAGCTCAGCTTGGTTGCAGCTGGAGAAAATACTGAGAATATTTTTTGTGAATTCCCCTAAAGCCGATAGTGAAGTCCTGCTTCCTGATTTGTCTCACTGTGAATTACTCTGTTTAGTAACTTGTTATCTCTTATGCTGCCTCCTTGTTGGATTCCTGTCTGATTGGTAATCTGGTAACCTGGCCTTGATGCCCTACTGATTCTCTTCTGGATATTCTTTGCTTAGTCTGATAACACTGTCAGACTCAGATTTATGGCTCAACCTCGGCCTGCGTCATGACTGTTCTTGCTGTCTGCTTTCTTGAATTACTAGTTACTCCTCCTTTGTGTTCCAGCCCAGCCTGGCTTGCTGGACTCCCTCTGCAACAAGATATAGCATCCTTCCCCAGCAAGCTTTTTGGCTGGTTGAACACTTGCAGCCAGAGAATAGGACATCAAGCTTGTACCCAATTCAAGGAACTATACCCTGTTGTCATTTGTGATTTTAGAGAAGAAATTTAGTGCCCATATTATTACAGCTTGCCCTATGATGATGATAGGCTTTATTTTCTTTATTGTATTGGCAATTTAAAGTGAGACAAACAAATAAAACCGTCAGTCGTCTACTGTATCTGAAGGAGAGGCAGAAATAGTGAAGTCCCATCAATTACTTTAGTACAGATTAGTATTTTGTGCCACTTTCTCATAAATTGTCTGCACAGACAACTCTTTTTTGACTTTTCGCAACATCTTTAATAAAACAATGAAACTTTCACAACAGTCTGGTTATTTTGGGAATACTGGATTTTGTTGGTATTACTTCCAGGTCTTACTTTGGGTATTTATTCAATACTTTTACATTTGAGGGTATTTTTTTCCTACTTGGCAAAGTTTGATGTGCAGATTAAAGTGTGCAACCTTGTGAGTTCTGGTGTTCCCTGGAGCACACAATTTTCAGAGTGGCTCAGAGTGCAGGATTCCACTGATCCTGTGGAAATTACCCACACCAGGTAAGTCAGGGTCATGTGATTAAGTAGTTTGTGTGGACCTCTCTGTCCCATATAGAATCGTGACAACAAGATTATACAGTGGTACCTCGCACAACGGGAAGCCTTCACCACCTGCTGTGCTGACTGGGGTTTCTGGGAATTGCAGTCCAAAAGCATCTGAGTAACAAAGGTTAAGAACCACTGGTCTACTGTATCTGAAGGCGAGGCAGAAATAGTGAAGTTCCATCAATTACTTTAGTACAGATTAGTATTTTGTGCCACTTTCTCAAAATGGCCACGCACAGCGTTTTTGCGCCCTCGTTAAGCGAGGGGAGGGCGCGAAAATGGCTGCCGGCCATCGGAGAAACATCGCTGTACGGCGAGTAAAGCTGCTATTGGAATGCATTAAACTAAGTTTAATGCGTTCCAATGGCTTTTCTTGATCCGTACAGCGATGTTTTCACACAGCGAGGGTTAATCTGGAACGGAGGCACCACTGTATATGTAAGTTCAAAATTTGTGCGAGGCACCACTGTATATGTAAGTTCAAAGAATTCAGAAAGCAATAAAAAGTGGTGAAGCTAATACACATTCAAAAAGATTGAGACCAGGGCAATTGAAGAACAGTTCCCAGAGAAACGAGATGTTTGGACAGTGTCTTCGAAGCTATCAACATGAGTTTGACCACACTCCGGGAAGCAGTGGAAGACAGGAGGGCCTGGCATGCTCTGGTCCATGGGGTCACGAAGAGTCAGACACAACTTAATGACTACACAACAACAACAATAATACACAGACAGGAGCTGCAAGTTTCATCCAAAGAATTGTGGACCAGAGAACAAAAGCAGTCTGAGAGGTGCCTTTCAGTACCTTGGACAGATCAGCAAGAGGAAGACTGGTGTAATTGTATTTTCTTGAAGGCTGACCTCTCTCTTTCTCCAGCTCCACCCTTTTTCCTACAGGATCAATGCCTTTTAAAGAAAGTAGTAGTTGGGTATGAATATCTAAAGAGTGGGGATGATAGGCTCTTGGGAATCAGACTTGTGGGTTGCTGTCTTGGGAAGTCTTAGCTTCAGGCAGATCTGGCTTAGATATTGTTCTTGGCCGCTGCATTTAGGATTGCCAACCAGAGTCTGTATTGTTGGCCGTTAGCTGGCACCCCTTGTTTTGTCTCTGTGTCCAGGTTGCTGCTTGTAGCTGGGTTTATGGTGGATCTTTTTAAAGGAAAATTTGGAACTGTGCCATGGTGTGTGCTTATTGTATGCATGTTATGAACTGTTACAACACACTTGCATATATGTGTGTATGTATACATGCATTGTTGTTTAAAGTTACATTCAGATACATTTAGAAGCTTATATTGTGTGGAAGAAAATTCTGAGAACTGAAAATTGGGCAGCCATAATAGGCTTTTTTCAGAAGGTATGAGGAACTCAACAAAACTTAATTTGGAATGATGGATTAAAAAGAAAGAATGAAGAAATGTGTTTCTGGTGGGGAACAGGTGCAAGGACATGAAACAAACTATAAAAGTTCCTGGAATAATAGAAACCAAGGTATAGTCTTTCTAACGCACGTCTCCATGTGTGTGAGTGAGAGAAGAATATAACCTGTTTCTAACAGGTTTTTCATTCAGTGACTTGTTAAATGTGTTCTGTCTAATGAGTAGCTTCTCCTAATTTTGGATCCTTTTTTCAGGCATTTACTGAATTAAATTGACCATGAAAAGCATCTGGGAAGCCAGCATGTTTCTTTGGCATGTGTGCTTTACTCCTAATTTTTCTAATCCTCTTTAAAAATTATGTTGTCTCCTCTGGCTGATGGATGTGATTTCATGGAGAAACTACAATAATTTGTCAGTGTCACCAGTATTTGCTGCGTATACACCACACCTCACAGTTTTTTTAAATAAATAAAAATATTCATTTAGAAGGATTCCTGCTTATGTGAATACCTTTAATTTCTTCCATGAATTAACTGGTATTTATTTTGCTAAGCTTTATTCCTCTGGTGTAGAAACTGTGCCAGTGTGGAGACTAAACCACCACCACACAAACAACTTCACATGTTTACCTGTTATATTAGTGAGGAAATTCAAATTGGGCCTGTTTCATGATTTAACTTGGTGTATAGGTGATAATTAGACATGGGGATGAATAAAAAATTGGATCGCGATATTTGTGAGAAATCTCTGATTTGTTAAATATTAGTTGTGCACTGAGTGGTCTGAGCGGTTATCTTGTCTTAAGGGAATCCTGGCCTAAGGGAAGATGGAGGCTGCAGCTTCCCTACCCTAAATGAAGCCGCAGGCACCATCTTTGGAAAGGGCAGCCAGTGTCCCTTACTGCAGGCCATGGCTGTGGAGGCCAGCTGGAGACCATGGCGGTGGCACAGAAGTGCAGTGGCGGCAGTGATTACTGTGTGCCGGTGAGGGGTGTGGCAGCGGTGCGGCAGCAACAATTACAGTGGGGGTGGGAGCTATGGGGGGTAGGTTCTTTTTTAGGCAGCCTTTGGCTGTCTAACCCTCCCCCCCCCAGAAATCGACAAATAAATTCGTTCTTCATTGGTTCATGAGGGGAGCTTCATGCTTTGTGATTCATCAACTTTGACAGATCACGAAGCAGGGCGAATTGCCAAAATGGCGATTTGTCCCCCTCTCTAGTGATATTGGGGGTAATGTGTCCACGTGATGCCCACTTTCATCCATTGTAGCATTTGTGAATTCCATGGGGAAGGTTTTTTTCTCTCCAACAAAGCTGGTGAGATCCTTCAAAAGGCTGTTTTGTGGGCTGCTCTGCTGTGCTTTTCAATCATGTGGTTGTCTGCCTGTGTAGCATTTGTGAATTCCATGGGGAAGGTATTTTTTCTCCAACAAAGCTGGTGAGATTCATCAAATGGCTGTTTCGTGGGCTGCTCTGCTGTGCTTTTCAACCATGTGGTTGTCTGCCTCAGATATTTCTGCATGAATAGTGGACATGGGCTGGGATTTACAGATAAAGCAGCTACCCAGTCATTTCATTTGTGGACGTGACCTTAGCCTATTCTACAATTAGCTTCTACAGCCAGTTCCTTCAGAGGCAGTGCCAGTCCCTTTGTCATCACACCATCTCACTTGCTGCCTAGCTAGAGAACAGGTGGCCACATCATCATCACTGGTGTAAAATTGGTGTAATGCACTCATTTTAATAGGTAGCATGGATGGAATCCTCACCACCACCTCCTCGTCTGCTATGGCAAAGACACCAGGTCACTAGAAATCAGCAGGGAGGGGGAGAATGGGGGCACAGTGGGTGTGTTTTCCCGAAGAGGGTGTGAAGTTTAGGTGTAGCCCCTTTATAGGAGTGGTGACACACCCTCTGGTGGTGGTAGGCAATCTCCATAACAGAACCAATGATGAGTGTGATGTGCAAGTTTAAACCATAGCATAGGACACAATAGTTACTGGAAACTAAGACAAAGGGGGAAATAAGTCCAGAAAGATATTTTACTTCCAAGCAACAAGAGGTGTATTATTTAGGAAAGTCTCAGCAGTGGTATTCATCCAAATACACAGCATCTGGATGTCCTCACTGTTAGAAAAGCATCTGTTTGACGTGGAAATCTGAATCATATGCAATGTGTTTTTCAGCCTGAGACAAAAGTGACTTGCCAGCACTTAAAATTCAAGCACATACAATATTTTCTGATATGATTAACCTTTGTGCCAAAAGAGATTATAAAAAGTTATTGTTGAAGCATGTGTTTAACCAGCTAGTTAAAATGTTTTATATTTTGTGGTAGAAAAACTTTCAGATGTATTGCATCACATCAATGGATGTGAAGTCAATTTCATTCCATTGTCTTGAGTGGCAGTTCTGTTACATACAAAAAGAATTGATAATCTCATGTTCAGACTTTCAAATGCCAATCCTTTATCTCAGAATATTTTTTCTCAATACTTCCATTTTTTTTTATTTCAGTGTAATGAAACTTCCTTCTTCTTTGAAGCGCACAGCAAAACTGCATGCAAACATTTGTGGAAATGCTGTGTAGAACAGCATACATTCTTTAGGTAGGTACACAATTACTCTGAAGAACTGGTCACTGAATGATTGCAGAAGATAGAGACACACATTGGCATGGTGATGATGCACTTTAGAATTTAACTGTAGCATTTGTCCTGCAATTGAAAAGGCAGATATACTTATATATCTAACATAGGCCTGGTTACATTAAAGATAGAGAGCAGGATCCTGTTCAATTAAACTGCCTGCACAATGGTCCAGCAGTTTCTGAACAGTATCTCTTAACACAAGTGGAAGCCCTTTTTGTTGTAATGGAGTGATTGTCATCTATGCAACAGTACGTACAAGATCATGCTGACAAAGTACTATGTTCTGTTGGAGTTTAGCAAGATTCTGGTCAATAGCTTCAGCTGGTTTCCTTGTTCCTGGTTTAGATCCAGACAACAGTGGCCAGCATCCTCTTGTTAATGATATAGCTTTCAGAGGTGAATTGCCTCAAGTTCTGAAATCAAAATGCCAGATGCAGGGGAGGGGTATCAGGAGACAGATATCTCGTTGTCTCGTGTGCTCCCAGAGGCATCTGGTGGGGCCACTGTGAGATGCAGGAAGCTGGACTAGATGGGCCCTTGGCTTGATCCAGCAGGATTCTTCTTATGTTCTTATATTCTTATTGCTGTGTGCAGAGTTGGACCACTCAGTGCACAACAGAAAATGTCCATAGCAATTTATTAACTCGAAGCAATTTGCTTTTAAAAGTTACATTATTTGTGTTATGCCAGCAAAACCAGAGAAGAATATTGGGGCCAGTAATAGTTTAAACAAACAGATTTCTTTTCGAAATGTTTGTGCAAAATTCACCCTAAAGGTTAGGTTCTGTAGCAGTTTTTGTACTACTGCTTGTATGAGGGAAGTGGTTTTTTCTTTCTTATTGCAAGTGTAAAGCAGTCTTTGCATACACAGAACAGCCTTTGGTGTTCTAAAGGGCACGTTTTGGTTTCCAATTCACTGTGTTAGCTAAAGGAACATCATAATTCACACTGGAGAATAATGAATAATGGGAAGAGAGCAGTAAGCCACTGCTTATATAAGCAACAAGAAAATAAGTAGAAACATAGCTTAGTCTAGAAAATTCTTCCTGTTTGAAAAGATCATATATGATCTATCTTAGCGGTGTTATTTGATATTTGTTAGCACAGTGCATGTTCTTTTGGATTACAGAGCTGCCAACATTAGACATGGGTGTGTGTGTATAATGTTGGGAACTCTCTAATTCAAAAGAATTAATATATATATAAAAAAAACATAAATTCCAGAAGGGTAGCCATGTTAGTCTATTGCTGACAAAGCAACAGCATTTTTTGATACATTAAAGTTGAACAAGTTTTGTTTAATATATGTTTTCCTAGAATGTAGCCTGCTTCTTTAGATGCATGCAGTATGTAGTGTACTTCGAGTAGATGGACATTTGTATAGTTGTATTATGTGTATGTGAAGTGTAATAGAAATAGAAAGGCAAAAATTATTGGGATGTTGATGGTAACTGTTGACATCACCACAGTGCTAGTACCATATGCTTTTGTGTTACACTTCACACATAGACGCACATATCAAATGTGTCTATATGTTTACTGGGGCACCTGAAGAAGAGGGCTACAGTTCATCAAATTAGTCTTTAAAAGTGGAATAAAACAGTTGTTTTTTAAAAGAAGTAATAAAGTATTTTTGTTGTACAATACTGTATCTTATAAAGGGTATTCATTTTGACATGGATCCTAAAATGTTAATCCACTCAGATGACAGATGCAACAGTATTTATTAATTGCTTGCCATCTGCAACTCTTTGCATCATCTCCAAGGGCTGCTTCAATTATCAGGAGATTTTGGAGGGCTATAGGGAAAAAAAGAGGCAGGTTTGGACACTGTAAAGGTGAGCTTTGTTCTGTTGATGAAAGAAGTTAGGTGCTATGCCTTATGTCTTTATAAATAACCAGACAGAACAGGCTAATAAATGTAGAACCAGCATCATGTATCAGAAAAAAGGTTTTAAGGAGAGCTCAGTACAGTAGGACACCTGTATCCACAGGATCAATATGCACAGTTCCACTTGTCCGCGGTCTGAAAACATTAAAAGAAAAAAAAAAATCCAGAAAAAACTATCTTCAAATTTATTACCAGAACTGGCCACTAAAGGGAGCCAGAGACCGTGCTATGTATAGGTGTTAGTGAAGAATACGTAGCATGGTCTCTGGTAACCTCCATTAGCCAGGTCTGATAATGCATGTAAAATACATTTTTTTCCTTTCACCATGCTCTCTCTCTCTCTCTCTCTTCCTCTCTCTCTCTCTCTCTCTCTCTCTTTCTCTCTCTCTCTCTCTCTCTCTCTTCCTCTCTCTCTCTCTCTCTCTTGTTCACTATTATCCACAGTTTTCAGTATCTAGAGGGGGAACTTGGAAACAATCCCCAGTGGCTACTGTACTAAAGGAAGACATTATAGACTCAAACTGAATTAGAAAAAAAACATATTTTATTTATTTATTTATTTACTCAATTTTTACCCCGCCCCTCTAGACAGCGTCTACTCGGGGCGGCTTAAAACCAACTGCTAAGTTGGTTTCTTTCTCTTTTCATTCTGAGTTTGGACACATGTATTTAGATACCGCTTATATATATCATTTAAAATATCCAGTTTATATATCCTCAGTATTTATTAGAAGAATGTTACAGTGCATCTACTTTTGTAGCTTGAAATGTGTATTGGAGGGTTGATTTTTAATTAAACAAATACAGAAAACAATTATTCTGCCTTGTTGTTAGATAACTAATTTGATAGATGAAAATCATAAGGGCATTTATAGTTTAATGGATTTCAGAATACCCCTGTGGACAGCTAGTTTTCTTTTTTTTACAGTTCTGCAAATGAACTTTGTTATAAATGTCTGCAGATGAATAGTTTGTATTGAAAAATGGCATGACCCCATCTACTGGGCTTTATGCATGTTATGTAATTTGAAGAGCTTACACAATCCGTGACATCTGTTTTTAGAATGTTTGTGACATACCGTTTGTTTGTTT